AAGTGCCGATGAGTGAATTTGACACTGAATGGTGGCCTTTAGTCACAAACGTTTGGGTGAAATTTAGTCATAAAAATCATGTTAACGGAAATTATTGGAAAACCTTCATATGCCGCTTTAAAAAACCTTTCAAATCAAGCACACACAAAGAAGACATTCCAAGTGAGAAACGGAGAAAAACAAAGGTTCGAGAGGCGAATTTATGTGATACAAAAATAAAAGTGACATGGTTTTTTACCGAGCATAAAGTGCGTGTTGAATGTTTTCCAGGCTCCCCTAATCACACGCATGAATTAGATGAAAGTGAAAAACTAAAACGGTCCAAGGCAGTTCAGACTTTAGTAGAAAAAGAAGTGGTTAAGAATTATCCCGTGCCTGCAATAGTCAATGCAGTTAAAGAGTATGCAAGTGAAAAACTGGATCTCAGCACGAATGTAAAGGAGTTGAAATGGAGGGAGGTCGCAAATATAAAGTACAAAGTCTGTGGTCCTCAAAATGCTCATCTTATTGGTGCTTCTAACCTAGAACAAGATATTCAAGATGCAACTTTTTTTTTAAAAAATGAAGGATATCAAATTGAGTTATATAGAATTAATCACCAATCCACCCGTGGTCTTGTTTTTGCACACCCAAAACAACTTGAAAAACTCCAGAAGTATGGGTGGTTAACCCTGATGGATTCCATACACAAAACAAACAAATATGACTGGCGTTTGTTTACGCTATATATTCAGGATGAATATGGTTGTTGGGACATCAGTGGTCATTTTTTCGTTAGTAATGAAGATAGTGATACTATCACGAGGGCGTTGATGATAATATGACGATTTTGTAGTCTTTGGAAACCTCGGTACTTTTTATTAGACCAAAGTAATGTAGAAGCCAAAAGTATTATGATGGCTTTCTCAGGTCTTCAACAAGATGAACAGGAATGTGAAATTCTTTTCTGCACCGTATATGTTATGCGGACTTGGATGAATAAAATCTATGAATCAGAAACTCGAAACAAGATGATTCAAGCCATGCATAAGCGAACAAAAATCGGTTGTGAATTGTTTGTTCAAAAATCAATAAATGAATGTACCCTCACCCCTATTAAAAAATACATCTCAAGAAATTATTCAAAAAATACGCACCAGTGGGCACTTTGGGCTCGCCAACATTCTCTATTACTTTTGCAAGTAACATCGACAAATGCTTTAGAATCGTACCACAGCGAGTTAAAGAGAACAACCTCCCCTCAATATGGTTTGATCGGTGCATATAATAAGATCGTTGCAATTGATATGAAAAAACATTCAGACTCAGATTATGTTGCATTCGAATTTCGTGTTAAAAAAATCTCTGCTCTCGGCATTGATGATGATATCCTTAAGGAAATTCATAAGTTTCCTTTTCCAGTTCAAAAAATAATAGTTGGTGAAATTTTTGCTGCTGATAGTAGAGTAGAAAACGGAAAGGAAGTACCCAGTTTGATATCACTTGAGTGTTATTGTTTCTTTTTTCACAAATATATGCTCCCCTGTAAATATATTTTCCACGAACAAAAGTATGGTCCCAGGAAATTGCTGACTATTGATGCTTGAAGGCAATTCCAACAAATGTTTTTTGAGAGTAGATTTGAAGTTTATCAGCATCGTAAGTTAGTAAGTATAGAATCATTTGAAAAAGATAAAAATTATAAAGCAGCAGAAAACAGAAGACTTACCGTTAATGAATTAATAGAAAGAACACGCAACCGGTACTGGAGTGTGAGGAAAATGGTGATGAAAAGGAAAAGGTCGAATTTATTCAAAGACTGAAAGTTTGTTTAGGTCCTATTCTAAAACAATAAAAAACAAATAGAATACTTCAAATATTATAAAGTGCCGCAGATTTAAGTTGATGTTTGTTATTATCGTAGAATTGGAGTCAAATGGGATTATCAAGAAGCTTTCAAATATTATATGAAATCTGGTAATATAGGTCATATTGGTAGAATGTATTGTGTTGGTCATTGCTATGAATGCGGAAAGAGGTAATAAAGGATTTGAATATAATGAAGCATTTGAATCTTATAAGAAATTCGCTAATATTGATAAGATGAAAGGTGCGTATAATGTTGTTAATTGTTATTGTAACGTTATCAGAGTATTGAGAAATTTAATGTATATTATGGATCGATTACAGTGAATTTAAAGATACCAAAGAGGTTGGGAAAAGTGGTTTTGCAACAGCATATTATGCACTGTAGTATGATAGAATTAATAATAGTTAGGTAGGTGATAAAGACTTTATTAACAATTGAATAAATTGTGAAATAGGTTATGAAAACTTTTTTACAATGTTTTTTTTTTGGGTGTATCGAAAATATTGATTATATTGGCATAATGGCATACGCGAATAAAGGATTGTTTAAAACAACAGAATCTTTAATAAAAATAAAATTTTGCATCTTTACCGTGGACCCAATGGGTTTCGAAATAAATGATTTTTTAAATAACTGATTGTCACGTGATGAAGATGTATCCAGGTGGTCATAAATTAGGCCAGACGATATCGACAGGTCACGTGATGGCACCTGGCTTTAACGGTTCCCCATATTTGTATCATTTGCAAAGTTAAAAATATTCTTTGTGTAATTACTGAAGACCAATAAAACCATACTCCAGATTATACAGTTGCTACTATTTTTAAAAATACTTTAATTCATAGAACTTGTTCTAAAAACAAACTTTACAAGATACAATCAATGATATAAATTGGTTCAAAGAATAGACCCGGAACCGAATTATTCTAAAAATTATGTACCCGGAACCGAACCGGGGGTCGGTTCCGGGTCGGTTCCGGTTCTTCGGTTCGGTTCTGCGGAACACTATATAGGTGCCGCAGTTGATCCTCGATTTTGATTGGCCAACGCCTGTGATCGACAAAATTCTGGCCCGCATTATACATAATTTTGGCATGAATTTAATTTTAATTTATTTAATTGCAAAAATAGAAGAAAAAATTTTTAAAGTTTGGGCCTGTGCAATGGTAAAATTAGCCCAGAAACATATTTCGCTTAATGGACGGCCACGATTTCATTAGTAACAATTCGAGTAATTGGCCTAATTTTTTGATCGTTGCCATCGGCCGACCATAAATATATATGGAGGGTATGTTTGAATAAATTGAATGCGTTTTAAAATGTAAATATTTTTCAATAACTAATTTTAAATTCGGCATACAGGCATATATTAAAAGCCAATGATGAAGGATCCTTTGTATTGTGTACTCTGGCACGTGATCATATTATTAATTTTTAAATAATTACATCTTGCTCATATTTTTATATCTTTATAGCATTGCAAAGAATTAGGCAGGCATCGACATATTGATTATTGCAAAAATGTAGACGAATGTAAACTAAATCAGGATCTACAGCATATCAATGGTACATTGTTCTCTTTTTCAAACGTTAAGTTTCTAACTATAACATTACGTCTTATAGGTCGCATTCATCCTAATCCTGAGAAAGCAAAAGATTTCATGTCCCATCGATTATTTTGGGAACGTACTGGTTTTAAGGGTATTTTAACATTAACCTAGTTGGTACAATATATGCTCAATAATGTAATCCACTCAAGATATTCTAATTTGCCATTTGATCAATCTAGATCCATACAGCGCTCAAGAGCAACGAGAATTTTCCAAATGTGATCATGAATGTCGAGACGAAAAACACAATACGAGTGACAATCCTTCTAAATCATATTGTGAAATGCCGCTTTTCCACGATCTCCTTGATCCATCGAAAACTCTACCAAATGAATGTGGATATATTTCACTTGATGGTCACGTAAGTTTCAGAGCATAAAAAATATTATTTCGTTAAAGTAATGAAGAAATTCGTGTATATAAATAAAACTATCACATTATATTTTTCTTAAAGCATTTCAGTTGCGAAAATCCATCAAAGTATGATAAGCATTTCAGTTGCGAAAATCCATCAAAGTATGAAGTTGACATTCATCTTCAATGCAAGGAATAGACAAAAGACCCATACAGAGAACACCAATTTATAACGATCTTGTTAAACGTCATAATAACCGACTTGGTGCTGTTTATAATGCGGTGAGAATTTATATTTAACAAAAAAAAAATTCTACTTACACTCGGTGTTGGGTATTTGATCAATTTGACCAATTTGACTAATTTGACCAATTTGACCAATTTGACCATTTTTGTTAGCTATTATTAAAATTTATTTATTTATTATTAATTTTATTTTTAACTAAATTAAACAATATAGTTTATATAATAATTTATTAAATTTAAA